GTGACGGCGCCGCCCGCCGGCCGGGACCGGCGCAGCAGCGCCTGGCGGCCCGCCGCCCGGGACCCCCAGGACCGGACCCCGCCGCCCGGGAGCGAGGCGGGGGGCGCCTTCTCGCTCGCTGCACGCGCTGCCCCGTTGTGCCTGCGCTGCTGCGGGGCAGCAGAGGAGGCTCCTTCGCCGGCTGCTGCGTGCGGTGACCCGGGTGTCACGCTTGGCCCTGAGCAGCAACTGTGCCAGTCACTCAGTGTGTGATTTACCCCAAACCTCTGTAATTTGGTGCTGTGGAGGGAGGATACGAGGTGCTGTTGCTGCACACGAGGAGGACATGTTACGAAAGCTGTCAAGGTCACCATGGGGCACCTGCTTTCTACACAGCCGCTGGTCTCCCAGGCACCCGGAATTCGGCTTTAACCACTCGGAGAGCAACAGAGTTCCCAGCCGTGTGAGCACAGGCCTGTCCATGGTGTCCCCGCCGTGCCTGGTGGTGTCCCCGCCGTGCCTGGTGTCCGCGCCCTTCCTGGCGTCCCTGCTGTGTTTGGTGTCCCCGCCAGGTCTGGTGTCCCACCGTGCCTGGCATCGGTGCCATGCCGTTACTCACAGCTGGACCTGGAGCAGCACGTGCTGCCTGTGACAGTGATGGTTCAGCAGCGAGGGCTGTGTCTGTCCCCAGAAAAGCAGAGAGACCAGACACGACGTGTGCGAGGAAGGGGGACATCGCGACACGGCGGTGGGGCCCTGGTGATGCTTCCCGTACGACACTGGCAGTGCACAGCGCGAGCCGCCCTGCGCCCGCCCGCTGCAGCGTGACGTGTGGCCAGCATCGTTTTACAGCCCGTTTGACCGCGTTAGCGCAGCAGAGCAGGCAGCGGAGCGAGCGGCCGCGCCGGGGCCATGGGGAGGCCGCGGCGGCGGCGCCGGGCCCTGCTCTGCGCCGCGGGGCTGCTCAGCCTGGCCGGGGCGCTGGGGGCAGCGGCGGCACTGGGCGCCCCGCGCTGGGTGCGGGCGGCCCCGCTATGCCGCACGGGCGCGCTCCTCGTCAATGCCTCAGGTGCCGAGCTGCCACTCTTCCTGGGCGAGCTGCGCTACGGGCTCTTCGGCGGGCAGCGCCTGCGCCAGTGCGGGCTGGGCGGCCGCGCGCTGCGCTTCGCCTGTGAGTACCGCGGCGCGCTGCGCCCTGCAGTGGGAGCTGGGCCCTGTGGTGTGCACAGGACCCCGTGGCAGGCGCTGGGCTTCGCGATGTGCACAGGGCTCCACGGCATGAGCGTGTTTGCCGTGGGCTTGTGGGCTTGTTGCGGTGGTGCTCTCGGCTGTGTCATGGCACCACGCTAGGGCCGTGGCCGCGGTCCCATGCAAGGTGCTCGTGCGTGGCCCAGCCGTCCCTGGAGCCGTGGACAGAGCCTCCCAGCAGCAGTCCCACAGCCCTTCTGCTCCATCTGTCCTGTGGCGCTCACAGAGGCGCATGCGGCGCCCGGGGTGCCGGCCTCCCAAGGCAGCAGCACCGCTGCAATTAATTCTCCTTGATATGTCACCTATAAAATGTTAATGGCATAGAAAGAAAACCCCTAAATGCAGGTGCTGAGGCAAACATTCAATACAAAGCAGTTACATGCTTGCTTAAAATAAGCAATGCGAGCGTGCATTATTAAACGCAGTTCGTGTTGCCTCCCGCAGGATTAAATGGCGCAGCAGGAATTGATGCCGTTCCTCGCCGGAGCTCTGCCCCGGCAGGGCCTGCAGCTGGGCCGGGGCTCTGGGGACACAGGGTGCCGGGCATGGCTCAGAGGCGGCCGCGGTGTGAGCCGAGCGTGGGCCGCGCTGTRCGGAACGACCCTGCTGCAGCCCTAGGGCGGCTCCACGCCTCTGGGCATCCTTGTTTTGTTCCAGTTTTCCCAGACCTGCTCAGAGTGATCCCTGCGAGCATCCACGTGAGCGTCATTGTCTTCTGCGTGGTGCTGGTGGCAGCGGCGCTGGTGGGCACAGGCTTCTTCATGTACAACGCCTTCGGCAGCCCCTACGAGGCGCTGCACGGCCCGGCGGGGCTCTACCTGTGCAGCTTCATCTGCGGTGAGTGCCGCCCAGGGCCGGGCGCGTGCGACTTCGCTCTGCGCCGCGCTGGTTCCCCTGCGGCCGCCACCGTGGTCCCCAGCGGCCCTCGCTGCCTTCCAGGTTCCTGTGGCTGCCTCGTCCTGGTCCTCTTCTCCTCGGAGGTGAAGGTCCACCACCTCTCCGAGAAGATTGCCAACTTCAAGGAGGGCAGTTTCACCTTCAAGACGCACAGYGAGCAGTTCGGCAGCTCCTTCTGGACCATCCTGGTGTGTGTCTTGGTGCACTTGCTCAACGCCATCCTGATACGCTTCGCGGGGTTTGAGTTCCCTTTCTCAAAGCCGACGGACTCGGCGGCCAGCGCGGGAGGAGCTGACCTCATGTACTGACACCTGCGCGCTGGGAGTCTGAAGCCAAGGGTTTCATCGCTGCCGCGCTTGGCGACAGCCACGGGTGCTAACGGTACAAAAAACAGAAAAAGATCTCAAATAAGTGTCAGCATGAACTATGCAACACAAGGAAGGGAAAAAAATGAAGGAAAAAAAAAGAAGGAATAAAAGAGATTAAAAATCCAAGGAATAAAAAAGTTAAAAGCAGAGTAGATGTGTTGTTGAATGTGGAACGTTCCACAGCCCCAGGCCCCCTCGTGTCAGGAAAGCGCGATAGCGGGCGCCAGCTCCACGGGCAGCACTGGTGCCGAGGGCAGCCRAGTGCCCGCCGCGCGCCTGGGGCGCCCGCCACAGTGACCCCCGCAGCCCCCCAAAGCTTTCCTCAGTCTTGTCTTAATTAACGTGCCTATTTTGCTCAGTTAGGGTCACCCGTGGGCGCCGCACAGCCCCCAGCAGGACCCCTCTGCTCGTGCCGAAGCCCAGGGAAACATTGGGCGTTTCCTTTTCCTTCCCATTTCTCTTGTCTTGCTCCGTCCAAGGTGTCCCTTCCGCTTCTGTTTTCCCCAGCAGTCTTACAGATCAGCTGTCCTTTACCACACAGTCTCCTCTTTTCCACACATCCAGATTTCCGAGTTTTCCATTCATTTGTCCTTTCCGCACATTGTTCTCGGGGAGCTATGTCTCCTGTGGTGGCCCGTTCCTCGTTTTACTTGGTGCAAATGCCCATTTCAGGACAGGCCAGTGTGGAAATGCAGCTGTCCAAGAGATGAGTGTAGGCTGCTAGTTGGGTTGAAGGAAAAAGACACAGTTTTTGTACATACTTGCATGTAAATACACATGTATGCCATTTACACATGCATCTATATAAATACATATCTAAACACACATATATACATATATTTATTTGTCCTCTGTCTTTGGTGCCCACATATCCTGAGCAGATTGGAGGAAGCAGCAGGGAAGAGAAGGGACATGGGAAAAACACTGCACTCTGTAAGAGCAGGAGTTCTCACATGCAGTCATAATTGTGCTTAAAATCGTGCAATAATCAAACTTCACCACCAAGTCAAGAAGAGTTTATCTAAACACAGAAAAACTACCAGCCTAGCTCTGTTAGCAGCAATAATTGACACGATCCTTCTGGAAGTGGCACAATTAGACCTGCGTAGCGATGTGCTGGAAAGATCAAGGCCTGCGCACACAGTAAAACCTGATTCACACCAACGCGATCCCGAGAGCCGTTTCAGCAAAACTCGTGACACTTTGAACAGCGAGGCCAGCTCTGCTGGCAGGGCCCGAGGCCGCCGCTGCTTCAGCTGCCTGCCCAGCGCAGGCGCCGCGTGTGGASGGGAACAGCCCTGGGTGGGAGATGCAGGCGCTCGAGCAGAGCACCAACGAGCGGGGCTGGGCTGCGCYGTGCCCGCAGCAGGGAAGCGGGTGACTGCGGGAGCCTCCATCCGCGCGGGGCCGGGAATCGCCCGCCCGCTCCGCACGCCCCAGGCTGGGCAGCGTCCCGCTCGCCAGCACCCGCTCTGGAGAACGCCCCAGCGTGCGGGTGAGCTCAGCCTAATTCCACAGTCTGATCTGCCTTTTCTAATGTCTGCATTCCTTTCAGGAAAACAGAAACCAAACCAAACAAACAAACAAAAACCCACCACACTTGTTGATCATTTTTAGTAAAAGGCGCACGGCCGCCCGCGCTGCACCGGGCAGGCCCCGCGCCCCGTGCAGCAGCCGAGCGCAGCCGCGTGGGGCAGGGCTGCCCGAGTGCCCGGGGCCACGGCCCGCGTGCTGCCGCCAGCCCCTGCCTTGCACAGGCTCCCTGGGCATCGACCACCCGCGCGAGAGCCCCTCGTGGGGCCCAGGGGAGGATTTCGGGACGCTCCCCGGCCCTGTGCGGACAGTGCCCAGGGAATTGCCATCAGTGACAGCAGGCGCGGGCTGCGAGATGGGAGAACTGATGGGAAACCCTCAAYGTGCAGCACACAAAGCGACAGTCCGAGGATACGCTGCACTTCCTTAAGAGAGGTCAGCTTACCGTAACTGACTACTGCTCTGAGTTGATGACAAAAGTTAACACTGAGGGCAAAGATGTTGCAAGAAAGCGCAATATTGCCATAGACTGAGGCAAAAAAAAACACTGACCAAGACCTAAAGACGCTGCGAGGTGAATGCTAAGGTAGCCAAGCTAATGCGCGRAATGAATGCAGTGTAAAAGCAGTGGGTAAGAGCGCTGAGGTGAGGGGAACCCGCCGCCGCTCGCCGTCCTCCAGCAGCCGGGCCCCGTCCCCGCCAGCCCCGCGCTGCCACCCCGCTGGCACATGCACACGTAAAAACAGCTGCAATGTAGGTTTTTATACACACAGGCACACGGGGACATTTACAGACTATAGATATTCTTTTTTAAGCAAGAAAGAGGAACAGAAAGCCTGCATCACCAAACCGAGAAGGCGCTTGCGCTCACTGCCTCCCTCGGCCTCTTGCCTCCTCCCCCACRCTCAGTGTCTTTTTATAAGCCGGGAAGCGCGGGTGGATTCAGGCTGCTTGTTCCCCTACRCGAGGCCTGAGCTCTTGCTCGTTTCTGCAAGGCTGGGTGCTTTAAAAGCAAGTAGCAGTAACAGCAAGGCTGGCTGCTAATTGCGCTTGTCTGGAAAGAGCAGGGAGGACAGGGCACTGAGCAGCTCTGCCCCTCGCAAAGCTCAGCGCTCGTGACAGGAATGGCTGTCGCTCTCTGTTCCCACTTCAGAGCTTRCTTTACCCAAGGCAACCAACCCTGCAAAACCCCCCAGCTGCCCGAGGGCTGCCCCAGACTCTCCACCCACGGGCTCCAGGGGATGCAACACGGTTCCAAGGGGTGGCAAGGACATGGGGAACACACCCCGATGGTTGCCAGCGACTTTTGCTCTAAGAACAGGCCGTTTCCACCACAGCCTGCAGTTCGGTAGCAGTGTGGAGCAGCCCGCACGTGGCTGTGCTCCGGGCCCCGCTCCCCCGACACTGGCACTTGTTTACGGGGACTTTCCTGCTCGGTGGGCAGCTCGCGTGCAGTGGTGCAGAGCGGGCACTGCAGGGAGCGGGGGCTGCAAAGCGCGGCTCCTCCCCGCCACGGCTCCCAGCGGCTGCAGGGCACCCTCGCACGCGGCTCCTTCCTCTGGCTGTTGTCCCCGTGGTGGCACCTCCACCACAGCCTCTCTCGGAAGCGCGCAGCTCTCCCGGCTGAGATGTGAGCGGTTCCGAGGGAAGCGGTTCCTGTGTGGCCGCGGGATGCGCACGGCCCCAGGGCCRCCCCAAAGCAGGCGCTGGCTGACGGAGGGCACGGCCGGGTGCCTGAAACGCCCTGGAAACGCTGCGGGATCCCCKGCAGCCTGAGCGAGGGCAGCACGGGCAGGCGGCCACCCCCGTGCTGCTGTTAGGAGCAGCGTGCAGGGAAAGAGAGCGCCGGGCTCGGGCGGCGCAGGAAGCGCCAGGCAGCCAAGGGCAGCGCGGACGCCAGGACAGCGCCGGGAGCCGCACGCGGGACCGCAGCACTGCAGGCACCGCTGCAGGGCCCTGGTGCTGCCGCTTCTGCAGCCCCATCCCTGCCCTGTGACACCCAGGCTCCCACACGCTGCGCCCCGGCGCTCTCCTGCACCCCTTCCCGGCTCCCCATTCTGCTTCCAGACGCCCCTGGTCCCTGAGGGCCTCCAGAGGCGGCGGCGTCCTCGTGCCCTGCGGGACGGACAGGCTCCTGCCCGACTCTCCTCAAACCAGACACAGAGCTTCCACAAACTGCCTCGAGGCTCAGCTATTCAGGAGGCACCTTTGGGTTGCTAAAAAAAGAGCAACAGCCACATCCTAACATCTAATCAAACAGATCACGCTTAAATTATTTAACTTAAAATTATCCTTTGCTATTGAATGCTCACAAAAATATGTTTTATTTGTATAAACATCCTCCACACRGCCCCAGGCTATTTGTGGAAAGTTTCTTACTTTTTCTGTCTCCTTCCTATACCACAGAATACAAAATAAACCACAGGACAGTAATGGGATTTCTCTCCAAGACTGCAGGAAGGTTCCTGCCCTGTTTGTACCCCAGATTTCTCCACCGCGCCCTGGCTGCAGAGTCTCCTCGGAGCCAGTTGAAGAAGGGGCAGAGCACAAGCGCAGCRTGAGTTCCCCTGCAAGGGCTGTAAGGAAGAACGTGCTAACGCGGCCAGGCACATTTCAGGCACTGCCAAAGAGAGACTCCTACTGTGCTGTTGAGCGGGGTCTGGCTCCTCTCCTGCTCCATGCCCGGGCAGCCCCTCTCCCCGCGGCTGCACTGACCGCAGCCTGCAAAGGCTGCAGCAGTGCTATGGCTTCAGGCAAAGCCACAGGCAACCGCGAGCCCTCCCGCAAGAGCAGCCCCTCACTGCAAGGGAGCCCTGCGGGGGGAGGCCGTGGCGGCAGAGGCCAGGCGCTGCGCACGAGAGAGGCCAACTGGAGGCCGCCCGCACTGCGGGCCAGGCCAGGCCTCGCGCTGCCCGACAGGCACGTCGGGACCGGCCGCTCCAGGCCACCCGCTCGGCCGCGGCTCCTCACAGCGCCCGCAGGGAAACAGCCCTGGGCATCTCACCCACTGGGAGAAAACCTCTCCTCTTCCGTCGTTCAGTTCACAAGCACCGCCACGTCTCCCAGAGCGGCTGCCTCTCTTATTGCCAGGCACCCAGATCCCTGGTGACGGCTCTGCTCTGCTCTGCGGCGCCATGCCCGTGCCCGGGCACAGCTCAGCCAGGCCGTGCGCTCCCCACAAACCTGGCAGGAATTCACCTGGTAACCCCCACCTGCGCCTCCGCAAACTTCCCTGCTGGGTTTCACACCRAGGTGCCCTTGATTTAGATCTCGTAAAGCGCGAGACCTTTTCATTACGTGTGACCGTGCTACGCATTACTGCAGGGCTTCCCAAAGCACCACAGCAAGCAGTGTAAAAGACTCTGCTAYCAAGGCTGCCTTGCCAAACGCTGCGGTTTGTTGGCCGGGCGCTGCAGAGCCTGGCAGGTCAAAACCTCCTGGGCTGGGGGCCACAACAGGTCTAAAACACCACACTTATCCTCAGAGCGGCGTGGGCAGCAGCTCGCTACGAACGAGAGAGCCCGCGCGGTGCGTGCCGAGCCCTGCCAGGGGCACTGGCACCGCACCGAGCCGCTGCGCCGGGCGGGCGGCGACACCGGGACCGCCGCGCATCGCGGCAACGGCCCCAACGGCCCCAACGGCCCCAACGGCCGCAGCAGGAGCGCCCCGCCCCGCCCCGCCCCTGCAAGCCCCGCCCCCGGCGCGCTCCTCCCTCCCTCCCTC